TACGACACAGGACTGGAGAGGTAGACGGGGCCATTGAGGGTTCTGGGAAGCCCTCACACCTCCCCCTGATAGCTGTGGGAACATAGGTAGATGACGGAGGACGGGCACATGCAGCAGCGTCCTCCTGGACTTCTCTGTGATGCTGAGAGGGTGACAGATTTAATTCTGGGTTGATGAAGACACGGTAGGGCTCAGGTTGCCCCCCCATGCCAGAATATACCCCCTTAGCGCTGGGCTGCAAGGGGATTTCAAGATATACCAAGATACTGAGAGAACTCGGGGCTTAGCTGTTTCCCACAGCCTAACATCTGGGCACCCCAACAACCTAATTTATTCCCTCCAAAAAAAAAAAAAAAAAACCTTCCTTCCTCCTCCTCCTCCTCCTCCTCCTCCTTCTCCTCCTCCTCCTTCTTCTTCTTTCTCTTCCTCTTCCTCCTCTTCCTCCTCCTCATCTTCTTCTTTTTCCTCCTTTTTTGGCTCCCTAATACCTAACTCCTTGGTATGTCCTACAGCCTGATTTCTTGACATCCCACAGCCTAACAACAGGCACCCCACAACCTAACTTTTGGGGATCTTCCATATCTACGATGACCACTGACACCCATACAGCCAGGCCTGTCCTGCTCTGGATACCCTGTACCAGTTCTTATCCCTGGGGAAGAGACCCTGCTGTCTCACAGACTGCCCTCTGGTCCTGGAAACCATCCCAGAGGCAGAGTGGGAAGCAAAGCGAGGCCAGACATGTTCCTCCCACAGGCAATTCCAACCTGGTCTATGCCATCATTCGTAAGCGTGGCGTCTTCCACCAGCTGGCCAACCTGCCCACGGACCCACCCTCCATCCACAAGGCACTTCAGCGGCGGAGGAAGACGCCGGAGCCCCTGTCCCGTGCTGGTTCCCAGGAGGGCGCTTCCATGGAGGGTTCCCGCCCTGCTGCCCCTGCAGAACCGGGGACCCTTAAGACTAGCCTGGTGGCCACTCCAGGTCTGGATGCTTTTAGTGCGGGAGAGTGTGGGACTTGGCTGGAGATGTCATTGTTAGGGAGTGGGTGTGATCTCTGGGGTGTCATTCCTGTCTAGGAAGCTGAGGAAAAGGAATTCAATAGCCTGTGGGGGTGGCAGTATTGGGTGGGCCTGGAAAGGTAGCTTGACAGGGCTCAGAGCTGAAGGCAGCTGTAGGAGGGAAGGACACACACAACCTCTGGGGCCAGAAGGGGCACTATAGCGTGTTCCTCTCCCCCTCCTGTGTCCCACCCAGGCATTGACAAGCTGACAGAGAAATCTCAGGTCTCAGAGGATGGTACCTTGCGGTCCCTAGAGCCCGAATCCCAGCCAAGCTCAGTAGAAGGCAGCCCGTCTGAGGGGGTAGGTATTGGGGATGCCTGGGGCACAGTTCAGAGCATAACTTCATTGCCTTTTTCTCTGAACTCTGAAGTGTAGGAGTGGGCAAGGCCAGGACATTCTGAAGTTGCTGTATTGGAGCAAGGGAATCAGGGCTGCCATCGCTGAACCAGGGAGAGGGAGCCCATTACGACCTTCCCTGTTTACTGGTCACAGCAAAGCCCTGTGACCTTCGGGTTCCTCATCCATCAGCCTTATCTGAGTCCGGCCTTTACCCTGCCCTCTCTGTCAGCCCCTGGCCCTAAACCTGTCACTGGGCTGGGCTGGGCCGGGCCAGGCCTTGGGCTCAGGGCAAAGGGTACAGGACTAGACCTACCTCTCAGATGCAGTCAACCTCCCTGTAGCCCTGTAGTGGGGTCAGCAGGGGACACATTGTTGCTCTATGACCGCACCCTGTACTCATTCCTTCCCTGGTCACTTCCATTCCTTCCGGGGAACCAGGAGCCTAGCCAAACATGGAGAGAGCAGCGGCGATTGTCCAACACATCAACCGGTGGCCAGTGGAACCCGACATCAGATTGGGTGAGGAACACAGCCAGGGGATCTGGAAACTGGGGTTTGGGTAGACGGCATGGAGCATGGTCTGTCCGAGCTCCAGCTCTGGAAAGACTGGGGTGAGAAGACCAAAGACGTTTGGTCTAGAAGCCAGGCTGAGGGACATCCCTTCCGGCTGTCCTTCCTTGCCTCCGTCTGACCTTTTAGTAGTTGCCCAGAGGACTGATTCTTTCGTCAGTCACCCTTGCTAGTTCCTCCCCAAATTGCTTCCGCTCCCTGTGTGTTTCCTGTGAGCCCCGCTGATGGCCGTGGACGGGGATAATAACCATCCCTATGATCGTGCCATCCAGCCACTGCGAGAATTAAAGGGGGAGGTCTTCCGGAAGGCAGGAGGCACAGCAGCTGGCCTGTGGGCACTGCTCAGCACGGCCTGGGCTCTTCCCGTTAGCAACAGTTCCCCTTGAGACAGGCTGTTGATCACAGCGTCACACTCCCTGTCCTGGGGAGCCCGTGGCTCTGGGTCAGGGTCAAGCCTGTCTCTTAGCTCTGGGCATGGCTCTCACAGATCCTGTCCTGGGGAGCCCGTGGCTCTGGGTCAGGGTCAAGCCTGTCTCTTAGCTCTGGGCATGGCTCTCACAGATCCTGTCCTGGAAGTCGAAGTTGCCGCTCCAGACCATCATGCGCCTGCTGCAGGTGCTGGTGCCCCAGGTAGAGAAGATTTGCATTGACAAGTGAGTCTGGAAACTGGGTACCAACCTAGGTGGCCCTGGAGAGGGGCCAGCTCAGACTTGGGGCAGAGGTGACGGGAGCACACGCCCCAGGGTTCCAGGTTCAGTCTCCAGGAACATTCTAGTGGTCCCACCTTTTTCTCTAGGGGCCTGACAGATGAATCAGAGATCCTGAGGTTCCTGCAACATGGTACCCTAGTGGGGCTTCTGCCTGTACCCCACCCCATCCTCATCCGAAAGTACCAGGCGAACTCGGGCACTGCCATGTGGTTCCGCACCTACATGTGGGGTGTCATCTATTTGAGGTGGGCCTTGCAAGGGGTCGGGAAGTTACACCCTGGGGTGGAGATGGTTGTCTCCTTGAGGAGTACCCACCGGGGGATTTTAGCTCTGGGTTCCTCTCATCCACAGTGGGGCTAATGTTGAGGGTGGGCACTCTTCATCCAGACTGGGGACATCAGGATGGGTGGGGGCCTTGTAGCTACCTAGCCCTTTCTCCAAGGTACCCCCCTTCTAGAAGGTGATAGCCCACTCCCTCTATAGGAACGTGGACCCGCCCATCTGGTACGATACGGACGTGAAGCTGTTTGAGATCCAGCGGGTGTGAGGATGGGGACCTGAGGGAACAGGGCCAGGAGGGCTGGTCCTAGACCCCAGTGCTCCCCAACCTAAAGGACCGTGATCAGGGCAAGGGGCAAGTAGGTTGGTCAGTCCTGGCTGGCAGGTCCCAGGTGCCCATTGTGACTGGAGACAACAGGGTGAAGAAAGCCTGTCCTCTAGGCTGTTCTCCTAGGAGCCTTTTGTCTCCGGAGATACAAGCCCCACCAGAGCCCTTGCCCACCTTGGCTCCTCCTCCAAGACCTGCCCTTGTGCCGTCTGCTCCTGGAAGCTGCCAGCTCACTGTGCCCTAATAGGTTTTCCCAAAAAAGCCATGTGCTGTCCCTTGGGGCACCTGGTCATGGTGAAGGAAGTCCTGGCTACCTAGTCGGAGACTACTGGTCCAGGCCCACTCCTTGCCAGGGCCCCTGGAGAAAGGGTGGCTGAGCTGCTGGCCAAGGAGGCTGGGGCTGACAGCCTAGAGAGCAAACCTGATGAGTATGTTTTAGGAGTGGGGTGTCGAGGGCCCCCTGTTCCTGTCTTTGGGTCGGCAGATGTTGCCTGACTGGTGGGGCCTGAAGAATATCAGTGTCCCTGCCCTACTTACTGCCTGGGTGGTGGGGGAAGCAGGACTCTGCCAGCCAGCTCTGGCCTCTGGGTCTCCCTGCCTCCCCTGTGTCATGCAATCTTTGTTCTGCACAATCGGCCACCTTACACAATAAAAATGTCCCTCTCTCTGTGCCTCTCTCTGTGCCTGGGGTTGGGGGAAGTACCTGACTGGGGCTCTTATTTCAGCACAGTTGGGGACTCTGCAACCCAGAGCCCATCCCCTGAGGTCTCTTGCTCTCTGACTGAGCCGGTCATCTGTCATTGTGGGGAGGAGGACATAGGGCTGCAGGATCGGACTCTGTCACCCAGTGTTTGGCTATGGCAACCCAGAGTAAAGCTCACACAGGAGAGACCAAAGGCCTGGCTAAGTTCTTTGCATGACCTCAGGTAGTCAGAACAAATGTTGAGGGGCCTGGGGCCTGGGGCCTGGTTTGACAGTGTGTGACTTAACAGTGTGTGGCTTCATGGGAGCAGGGGAGTTTCAGAAAGGGCAGAGCTTTGGCTGCAGGGCCAGGGCCACACACTTTGGGCCCTGGACATATTTGTTCTGAGCTCAGAGAAATGGATGGGGTGCTGGTGTTGCCAGCTTGCTCACCTTCTTCCTGGCCACCAGTGGCTCAGGGGACCAGGCCTGGGCACTGGGCAAGCAGAGGCCACAGTGACCATCCATAGTGAGCAAGTTGCAGAAATGTCCTGGAGACTGTTCCAAGACAGTGCAGGCCAAGGGTGGAGGTCGGGGCTCTGCAACCCTAGACTCATCTCTTCCTGCCTCTGTCCGTGGACCAGACAGAGAGTACCTGGTGTCGACCGCTCCTGGCTGAGGAACGGGACTGTCTTGCTTGAGTCCTCTCAAGGACCATTCTGTTGGCCACACCTGGAGTGGCAGGTCTGTCTCCAGGAACAAATGCCGCAGAGGCTGAATGGAATCAATCAAACAAACAGGGTTTATGGAAGCAGGAAAGAGCTGTTGAGCCCTGCCCGGCAGCTAATTAAGGAGCTCATTAGAAGATGGGGGAGAGGGGCGGGGCTGCTGCCAAGCTCAGAGGGCCGGGTTCTCAGTTCCCAGTAGTTCTGAGCTTCCAGGTTGTCCAGGAGCCCCTTCCACAGGACCAATCATCCCCTTTCCAGCCGCTAGATGCCATGATTTCACATTGACCCTCACAGATAGTAACCTTTGCCTGTCACCTGCGTAGTCCGTACCACATGGGTTCTTGCGAAGGGCTGTGGTCAGGCTCCACTTCCAAGCCCTACCCTTGGTTTTGAGCTCCAGGTGGTACCTCCCCTCTCAGTCAGGCTGAGGAACTTTGGGAACTCCGGGCACGTGTCCGCACCCCTTCATGTGATGTATCTGCCCAGAGAGGCCACGCTTCCTCTTCTGCCTTGGTACTCCAGGGCTTCTGCTGTGGCTGATTTGGCTGGGCACTCAGGCCCCCAGGTAGACTTCCACCAGTCCCCCAACAGAATGCATGCGGTAGAAGACCCCCAGAGGCAGGCCGAAGTTGACAATGGTGAACCAGGTCCTGTAGCCGTAAAAATCCTTTTCCAGCCCGTTCTCAAACTCAGGGTGTATGCCAAACGCGGGCATCATCCACAGCTGGGGAGAGAGAGGAGGCTGCTGGGTGAGGGAGGGGCTCTCCCAAACCTTAAGATGCTCAGCTCATGTGAGGCTGACCTGGACTCTGCAGTTGGCCCAGCATTCATCCTGGGGTTTTCAGAGCAAGGTCCCCAGCCCTGATGTCCTTCTTACCCCCGACACGGAAAGTCATGGCCATGTTGGTTGGCTTGCTTGAGGCCTGGTTGAGCCCCAGAGGGTTCCTTATACATAGCATTTGGCAGGACCTCTCAGCCAGCAATCTACACTGCCAGGTTGGACTGTTTGTGCCCTAAGCCCCGAGCACAGGTTTTACTACTTCTGCTAGTTACAGCCACCTGCATCCCTCCTGCTCTCCTGTGAGAATTTTACCCGTTTGCCAAAGCCCAGATCAACCTCGTCCACCTTCCAGAAACACACGTTGGCTCTTGGGACGCGGGCTTCCGTCACTGAACTCATGACACAGTTTAAAGCCAATTTATCACTTCTTCTTGGCCTAGCCCAGCTGCTTCACATCTGGGGTGTGTTTCAAGCTAAACAACCCTGAGCTGTCCCATATCTGCCAGTTACAGGCGGTGAGAGCCAGGACTGAACAGACAACATACGCTCCAGTTGGTCCAAAGGGGAGGGGGACGGACAGCAACACCGCCTGTCATTTGGAGGTGTGTGCTGATTGGAGGGGGTGTGGAGAGAGCGCATGGACCTTTGGGCTGGCTACTCAGCAGCCAGCAGATGCTAAGAGACCAGTGCCGACCTCCGACTCCACTAGGGTCTGCTCTTCCAGCCGAATTCAACATATGACGAGTTCAGTGGTCATTTTCTAACAGGCCCCCTGGCACCTTCCCCATCAAGACTGAAAGCTTCTGGGGTCAGAGTCGTGCACATTTGTAAAGAGGGCTCTGCTGTGTGCTGAGCACATGAATTCACGCCAGGCAGCTTGCAGGGAGCCGCTGGAGATATTCCTGGCTCTCAGGCAGCATCAAGCACCGTGCTAGAGACGAGTGACCACCCCCACACGCCAGGAGTTTCTGCCCAGATACTCACCGTGATGTTGCAGAGGATGAGGAAGAGCGAGATTTCCTTGAGCACCCTTCGTTTCCAATTGAGGTGGCTGTAGGAGTGAATGTAGGCCCGTGAGGCTCTCCGTAGATCCTGGCCCAGCTCCCTCAGGGAGCCTCTGCGGGGCAGCTCAGCATCCTGCTTCCCCATCACATCCGCATCCGGGAGCACAGGCTCCCAGAGCGGGCGGCGGTGCAGGCCCTCAATGATGAAGAGGTTCTGAGTGATGTGTTGTAGGATAAGCAGCAGGGAGTAGGCCAGGATGAGCTGGTTGAGCAGCTCGTGTGGCCGGGTGGCCACGATAGCCACGATGGAGAAGTAGGCGATGCCCATCTGGCCCAGGGCGGCGCCCATCAGCAGCACCACATCCAGGCTGCGGGTGGGGTTCTTGAGTGTGTCCAGTTCTCGTTCCTCCAGCCCATGAATGGCTGTGCCTGCCAGGCACGCCAGGCTCATGGTGGGCAGCACGACCACATAGTACGCATAGTAGAGGGTGAAGTACTGGCGGCCTATTTCAGGGCCGCTTGCCTCGATCTGGAAGAGCACAAAGACGCACACACCAGCCACCAGCGCCAAAAGGCCCAGCAGGGGCCCAAAGATGACCCCGTGCAGGCGGAAGGGTGGTCTGTTGGGATGGGCACCTGAGTGGGCTGCCAGGCGGCGGCCCACGTTCTTCCACATGACGAAGAGTACCGCACAGCAGATGAGGCAGTACTCCGTGCTGAATGGGTAGAGCATCAGGTAGCCCTTCCGGAAGACCTCGCACACCGTGGCGTTGAGACACATGCAAGTGTTCGTCTCGTTACCTGAGAGGGGGTAGGGCAGGAGGAGACAGCATCTCAGGCAGGCCCTGCACTGGAAACCCTAGTGCCAACGATCACTCTCACCCACCTCCTGGAGCACACTGGATTCGGACGGGACCCAGCCAGATGTTTGTTTTACAGATGTGGAAACATCTGAGGCTGGAGCATAGAGATTGGAAACCACAAAATGATCACTGTTTTACAAAGGGATTCGAGACTCCAGGTCCAAACTTTCACAGAGCATTTCAGGCATGCTCTCCCTGACTCCAAGCATCACCTCCCCAGATCGCTCCGTGGGAGAGCAAACCCGTCATCTGCATAAGAAACCGGGCTGCCACACCTGAATGCGGTGACCGGCCTCAGCACGGCACACTGGGGTAACTAGAAGTCAATGCCCCTGGGTGAATGCACCGTCTCACTGCACTCATGGGTGCCAAAATGCTTGAGCTGAAACCAAGTCAGACTTTGGGCCGCACATCTAGGAAAAGCAGAGGCGAGGGAAGGAGCCAAATGCCACCACTGGGAAGCAACTAGAAAACCTCAAGGTCATTTCAAAAAAGAATCTTTGTTTCTTCAGAGATCACGCAGTGGGCTATCCCTGCAGGATCCAGGTTCGGTTCTCAGCACCCACATCAGGGGCTTACGACCACCATAACTCAGGTTCCTCGGGATCTGAAGCCCTGCTGCCTCTGTGGACACCCACACTCTTGTACACAGACTCTCACACACAAATAGCCACACACAACAAATTATTTAAAAAAAAAAATAGAGTGTTAACCGAAGTGCCAGGTGTGGTGACACACCCCTGCAATTGCAGAGCTTGGGAGACCAAGGCCGAAGGATCTCAAGTTTGAGGCCAGCCTGGGCTACACAGTTAACCTTTGTTTCAGGAAGTCAAGGATTAGGAATGTGGCTTTGTAGTTGAGCTCTTGCCAGTGTATTTTGAACCCCTATACTGCAAAAACAACAAACAAACAAACAAGAATTTAAACTTGTAATAGTAGCTCACACCTGTAATCCCAGCACTTGGGAAACTGAGGCAGAAGGATCAGGAATTTGGGTTAGCCTTGGCTAACCTGCCTCAGAAAAACGTAATCACTATGTCGTATATTTGGGGTGTGTGTGTGTGTGTGTGTGTGTGTGTGTAGGCTTGATGTTGATTTGTCTTCCTTAGTTGCTTCTCCACCTAATGTTCTGAGATAGGGTCTCTCACTGAACCTGGTGTTTTGGCTAAACTGACTGGCCACTGAGCTCCAGAAATTGCCCAATAATAATGAATTGAAACTCTGGGTGTGGCTCAGTGGTAGAGCGCTTGCCCTGCCTGAATGAGGCTCTGTTGCAACCCATAGCCGCAGACATACAAACACACATCCATGACGTCACTGGACCCAAGCTTCCTCTTTACACTTTTTGTGCAAAGTGCAAACAGAACGTAAGGGAAGGCCACAACATACAGACATGCCATGATTCACGCGCTGGGTGTGTGAATGCGTGAGAGCTGGTGCACACAGGCCATGATGCCGCCTGTGGGTGGGGCAGACACATAGGTGTGGCTGAATCCCACAGACTGCATGCTCCCATGTGGATTTATGGGATGTTGCTTCAAAGGGCGGACTATCCACACTCAGGATTAGCCAGACCGGATGATTTGGGGATAGCTGTCTATCCACAAGTCTCCTTTCCCTCCTGGTATGTTTAGATTTTAAGATTGCATCAGGACAGCATTCCTTTCAGCCCCAGAGAGGAGTTTTAGCCTCTTACAAAGAAAATGCAAATGGCATGGGTGGGCGTGTGCCTGAAAGGCTTCTCAGTGATCCGCTCAGCCAGGACCAGTGGCTGGTTTGCTGCGGGCAATGTGAGCAGCGGTTAGGACACCAAGTGCCAGGCCCTGATGGAGCATGAAGGGGACCATGGACACAATGAAGTGCGCGTGTGTGTGGTGTGTGTGCACTGACACAATGAACTGTGTGTGTGTGCATGTAAATGTGTGCACATGCACATACAAACCAGAAGACACTCAAGAGGATGTAGTCCCTTAGGAAGTATCTGCTTTTTTTTTTTTTTTTTTTGGCAGTATCTCATTAGCTGTCAGTTCTAGAATGCCTGGCCAGTGAGCCCTAGGGACTAATCTGTCTGCATGGTCTTTTCTTTCTTTCTTTCTTTCTTTCTTTCTTTCTTTCTTTTTTTTTTTAGATAGGTTCTCACTGTGTAGCCCTAGCTGGCTTGGAACTCACTACGTAGACTCTGAACTCACAGAGATCTGTCTGCCTCTACCTCCCAAATACTATGGGAACTAAAGGACTGTGCCACAGTGCCTGGCTATGCCTAGATTTTTACACGTAAGCTCCCAGGGAACAAGCACAGGTCCCTCTACTTGTGTGAGAAACAATTTATAGACTGAGCCATCTCTACAGCCCACACTTCCGTTTAACAATGACCTGGCCTTGAGTGTGCTCCCAACTTCATAAATGTGTTGCCTCCCTAGTTGACATGTGTGTGTGTGTGTGTGTGTGTGTATGTGTGTGTGTGTGTGCATGCACACACATGAATGTGATGGGTAGAAGCTCTGGTCCCCTTGTACCTGAGAATTTTTCCATGAGGGCGTCGAGCTCGGCCTCAATCTCACGGTGCATGGAGTCATTGGTCACAGCCAGAACCCACAGCAGCAGGTTCGTGGCCAGGGTCAGCATGAGGCCACACCTGGAGGAAGGGCCACATTCTGCTCACACACGTGGCTTACACAGCCTGGAGAGCTCCCAGAGTCCCATCCTCACCGTTCTCTGCTGTTGGGGTGACCGCTCAGTCTCAGAAGCAGATCACAGAGGTGGTAGGATTTTAGGAGCCCTTAGGGGTCACTTGGAATGCAGCCTATGCTAACCCGCAGCTTCAGGTCCCTCCTGTCTCGGGAAGCTGGAGAGTGGTGGAAACAGAGCCCCAGAAGACTCACCTGGGAAGATGTCTCACCTGGTGAGGTTGGTCTGCACCTGAACACAGTCTTTGCAGCGCCTCCACAGTACCCATGTCTGGAAGAGACAGGGGTCTTGAGCCCAGGTGCTAGTGACTTCAGTTGTGTGTGTGTGTGTATGTGTGTGTGTGTGGTGTGGTGGTACACAGGGTGAGCACCTCAGTTGTGTGTGTGTGTGTGTGTGTATATGGTGTGGTGGTACATAGGTGAGTACGTCAGCTGTGTGTGTGTGTGTGTGTGTGTGTGTGTGGTGTGGTGGTACACAGGGTGAGCACCTCAGTTGTGTGTGTGTGTGTGTGTATATGGTGTGGTGGTACATAGGTGAGTACGTCAGCTGTGTGTGTGTGTGTGTGTGTGTGCAATGGAGGGAAGGCAGCTTCCATAAGGAAGCCTAGGTTGGAATCCTGGCTCTGCCATTTCCTTTTTTTGTGCAGTACTGGGCCAGTGGTAAGCATCCCGGGACTGTGGCTCGCTCGGCTGTGAAAAGGGCCTCCGTCTCCACTGCTTGGGGAAGGGGAGACACCTACCTCGTGAGGAAAATAAGGGTGATGTAAGGACAGCATAGTAGAGACTCAACAGATGGAGAAGCCGGGGTATCTGGGAGCTGGGTAGAAGAACATGCAGGCACATCTAGACGAAGGTGTTTGTAGGTGTCGACAGGTATGTGTGGAGGCACACACGTGCAGAGGAAGGTATGTGTGGAGGCACACATGTGTAGAGGAGAGCTGCGTGGGTGTGGGTGCACTGAGGTGAGCTATGACTGGTGTATGTCTACACCCTGGAGCATGGAGACGTTGCCTCTGTGGCTGGTTTTAGGGTAGGTTGAGTGGTCTGTGTCCCTGCAGGTATGGGGGTGTGGGAGACTCGTCACCTGGACACTCATGAAGATGATCTCAATGATCGGAAAGATGAGCTCCACTTCTGACTTGCAGTGAATGTGACTCACATCGTAGCCCATGCGGAATGCATTCAGGCAGATAGTGCAGCTGCCGAAGAGCACCAGGGAGCCTGGCAGGAGAGGATGGGCGGGCGGTGGGCACAGGCAGCTGCTCCCAAACAGGTTCTCCTTCCCCAGCCCTCTCCACCCTCCTAGCACCAAGCGCTTACCCCTCACCCAAATGGGTCCTGCATGAGGGTCACGGTACAGCACTGCGTGGGGCTTCCGTGTGGTGCCCACTACGTAGTAGAGGAGCCAAGACAGGGAGAGGACCTTCAGCGCGGCCAGCAGGATCCACACGTCACCCAGAGTGACAGCCACGTTGTTGAAGATCATGCTACAGATGAATGCCCCACCCAGAAATACCACATTGAGGGCCAGGAGCCCCGAGAAGAGCTGCCCGGCCTTTTGGGCCTGTCGGTCTCTCCTCAACAGCAGGGAGAAATGCCGTGCTAGCCAGGACTTCTGCTTTGGAGGGCATGGGAGCCCTGTGTGATTGGTTGGCATGTCTGCTTGGTCATAGGTAGATGCTGCTTCGGTGGTCTCTGCTTCTGAAGGTGACACGGGTGTGACCTGGGCAGGGGCTGGAGAGAGAGAGAGAGAGAGAGAGAGAGAGAGAGAGAGAGAGAGAAAGAGAAGATCGGCTCACAAGAAGACCTGTGGTGGAGCCCACCCCAGCTCCTAACGTCTGTGCGGTAAGAGCATACTATGAAGCCCTTCTAGCTGGGACACTGGAGCTGCCCCATATCCCTTATGGGACTCAAGGTTGAGACAGACCAAGGTATATATACAGAAGTCCTTCATGCTGCACATGAAGATGGAGAGCTGTCTTTCCCTCCCCATCCATGACTGGACCAGCTCACTTCTTTTTTTTTTTTTTTTAAGATTTTATTTACTTATTATGTATACAACATTCTGCCTCCATGTATGCCCGCATGCCAGAAGAGGGCACCAGATCTCATTACAGATGGTTGTGAGCCACCATGTGGTTGCTGGGAATTGAACTCAGGACCTCTGGAAGAGCAGACAGTGCTCTTAACCACTGAGCCATCTCTCCAGCCCCGCCAGCTCACTTCTTAACTCAATGCTTCGTCTTAAAGTGTGATAATAGCTTCGTCCAGTCACTAAGGGTTACTTGAGTGCTGTTCTTTCATTGAGTATTTTTTTCAGAGCTGGATTTTTTCCTCAGCAAAAGTCAATGTGAGCCTGCTTGTTTATAGAGAAATTCCACTCAAGAAATCAAGAGGGCAGGGGTTGGCTCCCTGATGGTGGGGTGTGATTGCCTACAGGGTTGTGTTGAGAAGGGTCCTGAGGTTGAGTTTTGGCTTGGTGGGAAGGAACGCAGTGGTCTGGAATAATACTATTAGGGGTACAGTGTAGTATCTGGAGATGCAGGCAAGGTCTAGATGCCACCCACTGCGTTCACAATAGAGTTTCTTCTGCAGGAAGGATGAAGGAGCTGGAAGAGAGAGAGTCCCCTCTAGCTCCTAAGAACCCCGGTGCTCATAAATAAATAAGAAAAAAAGTGGTCAGGCAGTGGTGGCACACGCCTTTAATCCCAGCACTCAGGAGGCAAAGGCAGGTTGATCTCTGTGAGTTTGAGGCCAGCATGGCCTACAGAGCCCCAGGATATCCAGGGATACACAGTGAAACCCTTTCTTAAAATACAAAAACAAAAAAATTATCACTATAACTAAAATGTATCTTTAAACTTAATGAAGGTTTGGAGGCAAAACTGTGATTCGCCAAGCTGCCGTGTGTACGGGATGTGTAAGGATCAATATGCATGTCATGCCCTTGACTTTAACTGCCCCAAATTCTGTCTGTTCCCAGTCTACTCTTGGCTCTCCTGTGAATGTGTTGCATAGCAAGAGGGCACTGCCTGGACCCTACTCTTCCCCTGAAAGTTTCTTGCTATTTCCTTGCTCATCTGAAGTTTTCTCTCAGGCCACCCACTGTCACCACTTGCTAGGGCCCAACTTTGGGCCACCCAATAGCTACGGTGCTGTCCCTTGAGGTCACTTAAGGCCCTGCTCCTCCCCAGTGGAAATGAGTTACAGCTGAGAAGGCATAGTTCCACAGCTTCTGCGTACTTCCCTGTTCCACGTCCTGGACGGCCCTCTGAGAGCTCCTGCCTCCAGGCATCCTGGCCTCAGGGCTCTGAATTGGTGCTGACCCATTTCCTCCTTTTAATGTTCATAATTCCAGGGTCTTTCTGGACTCACATGAGCTGGACTTTGTCTTTGCTTTTGTCCGGACCATGCATGCCATCAGATCCCAACCACGTCCGTCCCAGCTCTCACACTGCCTGCCTGCATCTTCCTCTTGTCCATCTCCTTCTCTCCTTCTTGGTTTCTCTCTTGTTAGCTTGCTTTCTTTATAGTCTGGCTCTGAAGCTCAAGCTACCATTTTTCCTGCCTCTGCCTCTCACGTTCTAGGAATAGACATACCTGCACATCCTTGGCTATTTAGATTAACCACTACCTTAGTCTGGAGCCCATCTGTTCTCTCCTGAACTAGCCTTCCTGCTAATGGTGCCTGTCTCCTGCTGAGAGTCCTGCAAAGACAGCCAGTAGCCCTCAGTATAAAGTCCAAGGCTTATGGGGCCTTACTGAGTGAAATGAGATAGTGTGTGCTAATGAGGACCTGGTGTACACAGAGCTCAAGGAAGAGCGGCTGCTGCTGCTGCTGCTGCTTCCTGCTCCTGCCTTCAAGTACCTCCCCAGCCCCAACTGCTCTCCCCATGGGCTGCGGCATCCTGCTATAGTTTCCAGAATGCCATCTGCTCTTGCTCACCTCCCTATCTTTCCCCATCTTTGTCTATGATACCCACCTTCTTCCTCTTTGGGGACTCCAGTTGATCCTTCAGGACTCATTCAGGCTGGGTAAGGGCCCCTTCTTGCCACTCCCAGCATCCCTTGCTCATTGCTTTGCCCAGCATGCTCTATCTACATTAAGGAACTTTGCTCTGTCTGTCCCTCTGTCAAGACCCTCCTAGGAAGCCCTTGCCTCAGTGGCCCTCACCACAGCTCCTCTGGGGCCCTGTTTTCCCACATACACCCTGAGCAATACCCAGGACTGGTAACTTCCAATGTTCTCTGTTGGACAGTGAAGTACTAAACTTTGAACCCCTTTCAAGACTTTGTAAACAAGTTTCACTACTCCTCTAGTCCATCCGGTCATCCTTGGGAACAATTCTACCTCCTTCCTGTCAAGCCCCTGGCCACACCCCAGGCTCCTCAAATCCATTCAGACCCAAGTAGAGGACTCCATGTTTTCCATGTGGTCTCTTGGCTCCCTCTTCTGGGGGCACTTTTTCTCTTGCCTGTCAACTCCCACCAATGCCGCTCACCCACCTCTTCATGGGAAACCTTCCCTCTGCCCAAGCAGACCTGTGGCTACTTTGTTGGGCCACTCCTCTGCTGAGCGTGGGTGTGAGTGTGCACCATTTAGGACTGGTTCCCTCAAGATCTGGGACTCCTCCAGGGCAGAGAAGGGGTCCTGTTCCACTTACCTCTTCAAATCTAGCACAGTCCTAAAAGCCAGCCTGACCACCCTGGACCCCATTGTTTCCTGGGGGGCGGGATTTTAGCGCCAGAGCTGCGGGCAGAGACCCTGCCCCTTAACCCTTTCCATCCTGGTGCAGCAGAGGAGGCGGTCCAGATGCTTATCTTTCTACCCTCCCTACCCAGGTTAAGCAAGGTAAGGCTCCCAGGACACCTCCCTGCTCCTTTTCTGCCAGCTCTGGTGGCTCCACCTCATCGTCCCCACTCCCTACTGATGGAGAGCCCAGATGGCATTTAGCATCTCTGTGATCTTGGCCAATCTACTTAGTTTCTATAGTCAGTGTCCTTGTTCATCCGTGAAATGAGCCAGCAACTACGGAACAGGAAAGCCCGGTACTCAATAAATCTGGCTCGGCTTGCTTGCATGGCCATCTAGCTCACAGCCTCCCTCTCCAGAGCCTCCTGCATGCTGGGCTGGTGTGGTACCACTGAGCTATATCCCCAGCGCAAAACATTCTTGAATGAATAAGCGAAGGAACGAATACATGATACTCCTCTCAGGAGTTTTGTCCGAATTTAGTAATTCAATTCATGGAGAGACATGACGATGAACCGCGCCTAATAGATGTTTGTGAACTTCCCTACAGATCCCAGAGGGACTGAAAGGTTGGACTTTTCCGCTTAGACTCCAGGCCTTGAAGTGGGGGTGTGTGGAGACCCTGGAGAACAAAGTTCCAGGTGCTCTCCCTTCAAAGGGTTGGAATTTTAAGGTTTCCCCCTGCTCCTATGCCCGTGGTTCAGTGCTCCACCAGCGGTTATCAAAGGGGCAAGAATAGTTCACAGCCAGGCAAGGTATTAGGATGAACATCAAGGGGTCCAGGAAAAAAGTTAGAACTAATGCACTTGGAACGAAGTAGAACTCAGCCATCCTTGGCACGCCTCTAGGCACGACGCCATTCCAAGGGAGGTCCTAGACACCAAACTGGTTTATGGATGGCATTCAGAGGCGAGCGACGAAAGAAGACGAACCGTCGGGGCCACGAAGCCAATAGTGCAGGGCCAGTTCCGTGGGAGGCTGAGGAGCACAGGCACGGAAGCTTCGGGATTTCGTTCCGAGCCGAGCCGGGGAGAGAGAGGTCTAGGCAGCCCCAACACCAACCATCCATCTAGGTTTCAGGATTCTTTCAGGTCCGGGCACCCTCTTTGGGCTGCGAGGACCCTTGAATCCGAAAGTGAAGTAGAGAGGAGAAGATAGGCACAGAGCCAGAGTTGGGGTGCGCGATACAGACGAGACAGTCTCGGGTCTCCCCCCCAACTCACTCTCCCCGTTCTTTCCAGTCCTTGTAGCTCCCGGCTCATGAACCCCACTTTGGAGCAGTGAATGTGAGGATGGGGTTCCAGGGAAGGTTTAGTCAACTATTCCCGAGCACTCGGGGGTCCCAGCTCGAGCTGGGAAGCCCTACCTGAGGTCTGCGAAGCCATCCTCGCGGGCTCCCCAACGCCTGAATTGCAGCGCGTATCTTCCGTCCAGGTGAGGCCCCAGGAGCCCTGGGACAGATGCCTCGACGCCCTTTCCTCCCCCCCGCCACCCCCCCGCGAGACTGCGCAGCCGCCGCTTGGGCTCCAAGGCCCATCGATTTTTCTGTTGACTTTGGGAACCTCATTAATCTCTCGTTAATTACTCCGCCGGGGGCTCGGGCACAAGACGGGCAGCCAATGGCGAGGCGGCTGCGCGGGAGGGCGTGGCAGGAGGCGGGGCGGACGTCGGGGGCAGGGTCTGAGTGGGGGCAGCTCCCAAGGTGTTTTGGGGTGCTTTGTTCTCAGCCTCGCACCGAGAACTTGCTGGCTTCAGGCTGTCCTTGCCTGTGGTGTCTGAGCTACGAACGGGACCCTCTTCTTTCCGGGTCTAAGTCGCCTCTTTTCCACACCCTACCTAGCTGACCTAGCTCCAAAGCAGCCTCCTGTGATGATCTTTCTGCGTTACATGAAACCTGAAGTTGGGGTAGAAGAGACCCAAGGCTGAAGATGGGATTAGAAGGCAGGAGGGGAGGCAGTCTTTAGGGTCTTCTCTGGTCCTCCTCTTTTCCTCTCCCTCCCCTCTCCGTCTCACTGCCCCATCACCCCACCCTCAGCCTCAAAGACCTGTGGACCTCACGGTGATGACAGCCAGGTATTTCCCCTCTGATGTCTCCAGTGCTCTAAGTGTTACTGTTCTCTTCCCCCGAATGCCACCACTCCCAGCCTAATCCAGGTATGGCTCTCCCTTCCTGTTGGCTGTGACATCTCCATTTCAATCTCGGACTCTGTCTCACACACACAACCAAACAGACTGACACTGGCGAGGTGGCTCAGTGAGTAATGGCTCAGGGGGATCTGGGTTCCAAACCTAGGACCTATAAGGTGGAGGGAGAAAACTGATTCTGCAACTTGTCTTCTGACCTCCACGGATATGCACCGCAGCAGGTGACCACCCACATGCATGCACACGGGCAGAGAAATTAAAATGTAATAAAATAGGAAAACAAATAAGCCCAGTGATACACACTTGTAATCACAGTACTTGGGTGGGGAAGTACGACCATCTGGAGTTAAAGGTCATCCTTAGCTACAGGAGGGAGTTAGAGGCCAGCTGGACTCCATGAGACCCTATCTCAAAAAACAAACAAAAACAAAACAAAACAAAAACCCCCAACGTAACATGATACAAACCCAGCTCTGTCCCTCTAGCTTTCCTGCCTCCACCTCTGTACACAGCTGGAGCAGAGCGGAAGTCTTGTGGCTTTGGAGGGGTTCCTAAAGACCCCAAGCAACTGTACTTACTCTGGGGGTAAAGACTCCCCCAGCTTCTCTTAAACTGGAACCACCTCTTATGTCTATACTAAGAACTCATGCTCCCGGTGTTCCTGAGATGTTTGAAGGAAAAATGTCTGCTGCTTGGGGTTAATGGGTTCAGATGCGTGGGAGCATTGCCTCCTGTAGAGATCCATAACATAGGAGAGTAACAATGACTGGCAACGATCCATTGCATATTTCACAACAGCAACTAAGGGGACTTTGAATGCTCCCAACACATGTGCTCCACGTTCTCGGTCTGAGGCAACCAATATGCTAGTACGTGGATTGGATCCTGACACGTTGTACTCTGAAATGTACACTTACATTTACAATAACTATGTGTCAATTAAAAAAAATGTCAGTAGCCAAGCTGTGGTGGTGCACGCCTTTAATCCCAGCACTTGGGAGGCAGAGGGAGGTGGATCTCTGTGAGTTCGAGGTCAGCTCAGTCTACAAGAGCTAGTTCCAGGACAGCTAGGACTGTCTCAAAAAAAAAAAAAAAACGTTAGTAACAACAACAAAAACCTCTACTGCTGGGACTGGATAGATGGCTCAGTGGTTAAGAGCACTGACTGCTTCTTCCACTGGACCCAGGTTCAATTCCCAGCACCCACATGGCAGTTCACAACTGTCTGTAACTCCAGTTCCAGAGGATCTGACACCTTCATACCAATGCACATAAAATAAAGTTAAGTAAATAATATATGTTTAAAAAAAAAACCCTACTGCTTCATAAGAAAGAAATCTGAGGGCCAGGGAGACAGCTCAGTCAGCAAAGTGTTTGCCACAGAAGCGAAGACCTGAGTTGGCTCTCCGACACCACATAAAACATTGGGTGTAATTGCACACCTATAATAGAAGGGCCGGAAGGAGGGCAGGAGGGTCTCCGGAGCTCAATGGCTAGGCAGTTGTGCTGATTTGGTGAGCTCCCCATGAGAAAGCCTGTCTTACATGATAGGGGCTGGAGAGATGGCTCAGCGGTTAAGAGCATTGGCTGCTCTTCCAGAAGACCCACACGCTGGCGCACAACTGTTTGTAGCTCCAGTCTCACAGGATCTGGTAGCACCCAGGCAGGCAAAAACAATGCAAGCACCGTGCAGAACCCCAGAATTCACGGAAATGGTAAATGCCCGGTGGCTGCGGTGGCTTGTTTGCCTTAGAAAGCAGAGCTGGAATCCCCAGGGTTAGTGGGCTACCAAGATTAGCCACAGGAAGTGAACTCTGAATCCGACTGAGGGACCCTTCCTCAAAGAACAGAAGAAAGTGGAAAGTTAGGTGATTCCTGACACCAACCTCAGGCCTGCACGTGTCCTCACACACATGTATACACACACACACACACACACACACACACACACACACACACTCATACACACACTCACACATACACCCCCACATACCTGTATGGCACACCTTCACACATGCATGTATACACGTATACCCTCACACACATGTACACATATGGGGTTGGAAGAGTGCAACGTAGAGAGCTCCCTGAGGTTGACCTCTGGCCTCTACACTCACCCACACATGTGTACAGTACACATACACACATACAAAGTTGACAGATTGCTGTTGCCGATAGAAAGGCTCTGGGTCTCTGTATCCGTGAGCCTCAGTTTCCTTTTTGTAAAGCATGGGCATTAGATGAAATCAGTCCTCACTAACTTCCCCAGTAGCATCAGAAAGGTGACTACATCCATGGGCCCTCCCCTGGCCCCTCCCAGTCATTCTGTCATCCACTGCTCAGAAAGTCTACCGCTTGGACTCAGCTCAGCTCACCCACGGAAAAGGCGGATTTCTGAAAACCTTGAACCTTTCCAGCTCAGACCTCCAGGTTCCTCTCCAGCGATCACCGCAGGCAAGGCAGCTGAGACAAGAATTGGGGACGGAAGTGCAGGTGCAGGTTTATTGGTTCCTAGCTCCAGACAGTGCACAGGCCACACGGCTGGGATTAGAGAGAGAGCCAGAGACAGTATTTCCAGATCCTGTCTGGTCCTAGGCAATGCTGCAGGGAATTATTTCCCTGCCTCAGTTTCCCCGGGCTCCAGGGTCATGCAGGAGTAGATGGGTGGGCATGTCTCGATTTTGATTTAAAAATTCATCCTGAAAAAATAAACTTTGGTGAAAATTCTAGTCTTGGGCAGACAGGGAGAGAGCGCCAGCCCTCTTCAGCCCCAGAGGTGCTGGGGATCCTCTGCCCTGTCTCGGTGTGGAGCTGTGTGGAGCCATCAGGACAGCACGTAGACCTCCAGCAGGCTGGAGACAGCATGCATTCGGTAGAAGATGCCAAAAGGCAGGCAGATGTTGACGATGGCGGCCCAGAGGGAGTAACCGTAAAAGTCCACCTCCACGGTATTGCTGAAGTGCGGGCGGGCACCAAAGGCAGGCATGATCCACAGCTGTCGGGGGAGAGGGGCACATCAGGAGCCTGCTGTGACATCTCTGGGCTTTGTTGAGCATGGAAGGTTGGGATCCCAGCCTTCTAGCTTGGTGGCCCATGAGGGACTGTCACCCAGGGCTCATCTTCAGCATTGAGGACAGGGCCTGGATGAGGAGCTGAGGAAGTGTGTCTAACTAGACGGGCCCACTCTTAGTTGAGGACCGGCTCGAAGTCACTCCTCCCACCCTTGGCCTTCCTATGCAATGGAAGTTTCAATAGGTGACATAAGCCACTGATAGAAACAGCCAAAGGGGCAGCAGGGAGGAGTGTGCCTGAGGACTGGTGAAATCAATTAAGTCTAAGGTGATAGGGTGTGGGGAGGTTTCAAAACCCAGCCAGGAGGCCACCCCACTCCAACCCTCCACGACCGCTACTCCTGTTTCACACCTCCTCCTTGTCCCTTCCCTGTGTGGGAGAAACCAAAGGCTAGAGTCCTGCTTCACCTCCAAATAGGAACTCAGATCTTCCTTATGGGTGTGGGATATGGAACAAAGGAACAAGTCTTCAAGGCTAGCCTAACCCTTATGCCAATTACTCCATTCTTGGGGGACATCACAGTCTCTCCCAAGTCTGGTTCCGTTCTAGAAAATGAGAGATGGGAGGAGGCTGCCAAGAGTGATTAGGATGCTGGGCAGTGGTGGCACACGCCTTTAATCCCAGCATTCGGGAGACAGAGGCAAGGCGGATCTCTGAGTTCCAGGCCAGCCTGGTCTACAGAGTGAGTTCCAAGACAGGCAGGACTGTTACATAGAGAAGCCCTGTTTCAGAAAAAAAAAAAATTAAAAAAAAAATAATGAAAAAAAAAGAAAAAGAAAAAAGTGGTTTGGACTCAGATACTTGAAGCAAGAACAGCCTCTTGAAAGGTAGCGCTCAACCTCAAGGCAAGGCTGAAGGTAGAGGTGGGGCACAGGCAGATGTGCGGTCAGAGCTTGAAGACTGAGGTTTTTTTTCTTTAAAGCAAAATTGACTGTTGGAAGTCTGCATGGGGGCTCACAGTCCCAGCCTCAGGATCTGACTGCATTAGGATGTTTCTATGTTAGCAATCCTCTCTGTTGGAGGACATTGTCAAAACGGCTGCTTTTGGACTGAGTCGGATTTCATTAGAGATTTTTTTTTGGCTTGAGATACACAGTTGTCATTTTGTGTAACTGGGGGACTGGTTAAAGAACTGGCCCTGGAAGCAATAGTTTATGGAACCAGCACACAAGCATGCTCAAGTCCCTTACATAAAATGATACATAAAATAACTTACGTATATCCTCTTGTATACTTCAAATTACTTACTGTGTTCAATATATATATATATATATTCAATATATATATATATGCGCTATGGAAATAGCTTGTACTTTGTTTTGTTTAGGGCATAATGACAAGGAAAAAATACATTCAATATGATCGGAATTTTTTTCACTAATATTTTCCTTCCAAGAGTTGCCCAAATCCTGGGGCATAGGACCTGCAGACCTAGAGGCTGGCTGTCCCCATAGAGGCATGTTCTGTATCAGCTATTTCCATGTCGGGGACCGTGTCTACACTGGGGCACGACTATGCTGGTTGCAGCTATGCTAGGAACGTTCCTCTTTGGGGGCACCATCTTACTATGAGGGTTTCTGCTTTGGGCTATTTCTTTCCAGAGAACATACTTGTAATAGAAGTCTCTCACTCTTTATAGGTGGCTTTGCCAAGTCACCTGGGAGGGGGCAGCTGTTGTACACACCGCTCTTCCCAGCCGGCCCTCTGCTCCATCCTGCCAACAGACTGCTCACACTTACGCTCTCTGCGACTTCCTGAGGCTGCTCCAATTATTCTGAGAAGCAAGCAGGTCACAAGATCCTGGGAGCAGTCACACCTCCCACCTGGGGGTGAGGGCCTTAGCCCTCCCGCTCTCTCTTGGCTCCCTCTCACTTCCACCCAGCCCCCATGCCAGCCTTCCTGGGACCCCTCCTTTAGGTGCCTACATGACAGAGGGCTGGGACTGCATGCTCCCTGTTTGCCCTGAAATGTTATTTGCCTAAAGGCTGCAGTAGTTCCTCTAATGAACCTGCTTCTGTATAAAATTCTAGAATGAGCCTTTGGCAAGACAGAGAAGGTTAAGTGATCAGCAGTCCTCCCCCAGTCTAGGGGCACCCCCACCCCACTCGCCCTCACCTCCCTCAACTACTCACAATGACATTGCAGAGCAGGAGAAACAGAGAGATGTCTTTGAGGCACCGCCGTCGCCAGTGGCACCTGGGAGCTGAGATGATAGCCATCGCTTCCTGAGGACTTTCTGGGTTGGGGCTGACCAGCCTGGGCGTGGGCGGGCAGGAGGGCAAGGTGTGAATGGCATCCAGGTTGGCAAAGGTGATGCCTTGGCAGGACTCCTTGGGGGGCATTTCGCAAGGCTCGGCCCCAGGCGGTCCCCGATGGAGGCTCTCAATGATGAACACATTCTGAAAGGTGTGCTGAGCAATCATAAGCAGAGCGTGTGACAGATTGAGCGCCCCCAGCAGGTCCCGGGGTGAGCCCACTACCACAGCCACGATAGAATAGTACGAGATGGCATACTGGCCCATCGCGGCGCCCATTAGCAGGGCTACATCCAGGGTGCGTGTCGGGTTCTTATGGTGGTCCATGGCCCGGCGATCAAAGCGATAGATGACTGAGCCACTCAGGCTGACCAAAGTCATGAGCCCCAGACAGGCGATATTGAAGCTGTAGTAAGTGACCAGGGCCTGCTGGGTATTGTCTCTCTCGCCGCTCACCTGGACCTCATAGAGGATGAAGACGGCCAGGCCCACAATGAAGAGTAGCAGGCCCAAGATTGGACCCGCAAAAAAGGTCTCCCGGAAGAGGCTGACCCTGGACGGCGTGTGGCCGTGGCCGTGGGTGGAGCCAATCAGCCTTCCCACGTTCTTCCACATGACGTACAGCATGGTGGAAGCAAAGAGGCTGTACTCGATGTTGAAGGGGTACAGGTAGAAGTAGCCTTGCTGAAAGATCTGGCAGATGGCCGTGCTGCAGGGGCACGGGTCTCCTCCGGCTGTGCTGCCTGCACGTTCTGCTGTGGAGAGAAGGGCACAGGGCTGGGCTCTACCCTCCTCTTCCAGTCTGTGACAAGTGAGGGCATGGGTTCCCTCTGCCAGTTACCACGGCAGCCCAAAGGACTCCGTAGGGTCTGGCTTCTTCATTCCTTCTGTAATTATTTATTGTGCCCGATGCTACAAATCAGTGCTAAAAATAAAACAATAAAAATCTGGGGCTTGGGCTGGAGAGATGGCTCAGTGGTTAAGAGCATTGACTGTTCTCCCAGAGGACCCGGGTTCGATTCCCAGCACGCAATATTGTCCGTAACTCCAAAATCTGAAACCCTCACAGACATACATGCAAGCAAAACATTATTGCAAATAAAAATCAATAAATTTTAAAAGTCTGGGGCCTGGAGAAGTCTCAGTTTATAAAGTACGAGGAATGCGGGAATAAGAACCTGAGTCTGACTCCACGGTACCCATGTAAAAGGTGTGGCATGGTGGTACGTATGTGCCCAAAATCCTTGTGCTTGGTAGGCAGAGGCAGGGTGTCCCTGAGACTTGTTGGTCAGTCAGTTTAGCTGAAGCTGAGGTCCAGATTTAGTGAGATAACTTGCCTCAAAAAGTGAGGCGGAGGACCAGGCTGATGGCTCAGCAGGTAAGAAGGTGCTTGCTACCAATTACTACCAAGCCTGTGGACCTAAGTGTAATTCCCAGGACCCACATGGTGGAATGAGAGGCCCAACTTCTGAAAGCTGCTTTATGACTTCTGTGCACACACGTGCACACATACACACACGCATGCATACACACATAGAGAGAGATTCTATAAATATATAAATACCTGTAAAAAATTAAAAGAAAAGAAAGAATTGAGGAGCCACTTAACATTGTCCTCTGGCTTGTGCACACACACACACACACACTCAAACACAAAAAGAAAATGGGGACTGCAAGTCTGTGCACCTCCATTTCTCCAGTTCCTCCTGATTCGTGGGGACCCCTTGTTCCCTGAGTTAGGCAGGCTCTGGACCTCATAAAAGAAAGTGCTTTCCCCCAGGCCAGCCCCCTACAGCTCTCCCTGCATCCGACAGCTCAGAGCTCCAGCTGCTGTGTCCAGACCCCCACCACGATTCCCATCACTGCAGTTTACGCCACATTGAGAAGGTTTAGAATGGGCTGTCTAGAATGCCTGGGGCCTCGGCTAATGGCTGTACCCCAGCTGGATCTGTGGATGAAGAAGCGGAGGCCCAGTGAGGTCTGAGAATTGTAATGGTCGAACCAAGGAAAAATGCCTGACTCCCAACACTGCAGCCTCTCCTATGGTGACCTCCTCTCTGGGGCTGTGGTTTCCACCATCAAGATTCCCTGTGTACACCAGGTGGTTCTTACCAGTCCTTCTACACTGGGGTCTCTTTGCAGGCCAAGGCTGTGCTTCCGGTTTCTAAAGCCTCCCTTGTGCCAGCAGGGGTTGTGGGTATAAGTGGGAGTCTTAGCTATCTAGTTTGGTCTTGGATAGAGGAGAAGCCCAGAGATCTAGAACCAGTGGACTGTGAAGGATGCTCTTTTTCAGGGGAACTCACTGGCTAAAAGCAAAGGTGCATTTGAGCACTTCCATTTTAGGCTCTATGACCTTGGGCAACTATTTACCTACCTGTGCTGAGTTTCTGCTTCTATAAGATGGGAACATTAATCATATTTATCTCCAAAGGGAAGTTGTTAGAACACTTGAGGCATTTTGCACCAAGCAAAGCCGCCATATGTTCAAGTGATGTCATCATGAGGTCACCACCCTCATGGGGTGGGGGTTGCCTTTCTTTCCTCCCCAGGCTGGAAGGCTGAACCACACTGTCTCCCTTCCCTTTCTGTAACGTCATCAGTCTCGCCCTCCCTGCTGGAAGCTTGGGCTCCTTCTTGGTGGGACGGAGACCCAGAGAGTATGGCCAGGACCCTCAAGGGTGAGGAAACACGTCATACACTCTTGTTCCTTGTTGCCTCCACCCACCCACAGGGAGCGTCTGGAGCAGGAGGAGGCTCCGGCTTCTACCTTTACCACCATGCCCTGGCAAAGACATGGTTGACTGACTGTAAATACGCCAAGCACCCATCCAGCGCCTGGCAGCCGCAGGACCAGTGCTTACAGGAAACTTACGGTCAGGGGTGAGGCGGGAGTGGCTGCTGTTGCCGTAAGAGCCGCTGTAGGAGTGGGCCTGGTGCACAGACTCATCCACGACGGCTGCCATCCAGATGGCTAGGTTGGTGGTGAGGGTGAACATGAGCCCACACCTGTTTCAGAGTGATGGACGAGGAGAATAAAAGGCTCGTGAGTCTTGGACTCACTATGGGTCCCTGGCAAAGCAAGGCAGGGTCAGGAGCCCTCCGTAGAGATGGAGTTATGAAACGAGAAGGGCAGATGGACGGACCCCCGTGAACATGGGAATTGAACTTGGAAGCCAGACTCGGCCTGGTGGGATCCCAGATAAGAGAGGGCCAGCAGGTGTCTGAGGCTCAGGCCCCACTAGGGGAAAGGGCACAGTTTAGGCAGTGGAAAGTAAGCACAAAGAGGAAGGGGTGGCTGACACCCCACCCAAGACTGAGAGGGAAGGGCCGCACCCAGGACGACAGGCTTCCTCTCTCATGCCAGGTGAGCCCTTGGCCCACAGACATTGAGCTGTGGTTCTTACCGGGTCAGGTCCAGGTGGGTGTGGATGCAGTCTTTAGCAGAGACCCAGAGGAAGTAAGTCTACAGAGAGAGAGAGGGGCCAGGCTCAGTACCATGTACACGGGCTGATCTCCGGAGCCCAGTGCCCACCCACACCTAATATAACATTTCCTCTATCCCAAGAACCCTTAGACTAATTGAGCTTATTTTAGCGTTACAAAAGGAGAAGGAATAATTTCTCTTTCTACTCTATACTTCAGCTTGTTTTTTTTTTTTTAAAAAAAAATAGTGGCTTTCTGTTCCTTAAAGCTCAGGGAAATGCCAGACATTTTCATCTTGATGAAATTTGAGAGGGGAGCCAGGGTGATAGAGGAGCAAGTGGAGTTTTGGCTACCAAGTGATGTTTTTCTGGGAGCAAGGTCAGGCTCAGACTAGATCTTGCTCAAGGTCTCAAGGTAGAGAAGGTTTCTGGGGTTTTATTGTTGTTATTGAGACAGGTTCTCTGTGCAGCTCTGGTTGACCTTGAACTCCATATGTAGAGTAAGCGGGTCTCAGACTCACAGTTATCTGTCTGCCCAGGCTTCCCAAGGGCTAGTCTTGAACTCCTTATACATCAAGAAGTAACTTTGATCTCCTGACTGCCCTGTGGACACCTCTGGCCTCTGGGTTCACATCCCCTGTTGTCTTCTTCCTTCGTGGACTTGAAAGGCCTTGCCCTCATCTGAATGCCACTGAGTCCCTGCCACGGGACTTACCTACACGGAGGTGTTTGTGTTTTCATTTTTCCTGAGCATCCTTCAAACTTGTGACATGTGAAAGACTAAAGCTGCAGTAAGTGTCTCAGCCACATGTGTGCAGCACTATGGACATCTGGGTGTCAGGGGGATGCTTCAAGGCGTGGCACCATCCCCTGGTCATCTTACTAATGCTACAAGGTCCCATGCAAGAGCACTCCTGCCTCAACCCAGTCAGCTCTTTCAAAAGGATCTTTATGCAACACATTAAAACAAAAAAGCTAGCGAGCCAGGCGTGGCACACTCCTGAAATTCCCGATCTTGGGAGGTGGACGCGGGAGTTCAAGGCTAGTCGGGCTGTGTGAAGTGAGTCACAAGAGGACAAAGATAAGAAAGTGATTGGAACTTGTCTGAAAAATCATCGTTACGGGATGTCCTGCCTCCTAAAACAAACATCAAGCGTGGAGCTATGACCAAGGTCAAACAAGCCGTAGCCGCGGTCATGGTCACAGCACAACCCTAGGCAGGGTCTGATGTCCTCCGTGGACACCCCAAGGTTCTACCAGACAGGGATGGCTGTCACAACTCACACCTCCTAGGTGTTAATTACTGGCACCACTTAGGTTGAAATAAAGTTGCAGCACCCCTAAGTAGGAACTCACATTTAGACACACTTCATGAGTCAGTGTTTCCTCGTTTATGGACTCATATGATCCCTACCACAGTCTGACTCGGTTTACCAAATTGCTCAGGGCTAGGGGGTGGTATGTGTGAAGCTCAGATCTCCTGAGCTCCTGCCAGGCATCAGGCTCTTCCCCCTATGGGGACATTCCTTCAACCCACCTGGACAATGACAAACACAGCTTGGATGATGGGGTGCAGGATCTTGATGGCCGACTGGCACTCCAAGAAACTGGAGTAGTAACCAGTCTTGAAGACATCCATGACGAGTGTGCAAATCCCAAACAGCACGAGCCCACCTGAGAATCAGGGTCAGCAGGGGAGTAGTGTATCAGGGAGGCAGGAGAGAGGGCTTGTAGGGTGGAGGATAGGTTCTGAAGGTGAGGGGTTAGCTGGGGGTGTGCGTAGGGAATAGGTGGACAATTGGGTGGGAGAATGGATGAGAGGAGAGGTTGGGAGGATGATGAATTGGTGGATGGATGGACAGGTGGACGGACTGAGAGGTTACTGGGTGGATGGATGAGGGCAGGAGCAGGCAGATGGATGGAGGAAGGAATGGAGGGCGTGAGGGACAGAGAAATAGAGCATGGATAGGAACATGGGCAAACTGAAGGACTGGGAGATGAAGAGGTGGGTGGGAGATGAGTGCACAACTGAGGGGGAAGAGGGAGGACATCCTGTGTCCCCTCCATTGCACAGACAAGGGAAAGCCTTGTCGGCTGCTATTGTCTTTTACTTTTTTTGGTCTGCATACAAAGGCTCTGCATGGCCATCCCTGTCCAATCTTTAGACAAGCCAAAGAAGCTTCCTCCACCTCTCCATATCCTCTAGGATCCGTTTCCCTCTCTCCACCCCCTCACCGCGTCCAACCCCAGTAAGTTTTCAGCCACATCATCCTTCCCAGGGAACTTTAAGCAAACCTGTCTCCCCAAAGTCACACCCCGAGGTCCTCCAGGAGCCCCACAGACTGCAACCTCCCACCGTGCCCATCCCAGTCTTGTCCTCATATCCCAGGGCACCTCGGAGCCAGATGGGGCCGGCGTGTGCATCCCGGTAGGGTACCGCATCCGGACAGCGCGCAGTGCGGAGGAGGTAGAAGACTATCCACAGCGCGGCCAGCAGCATCATGGTGGTGAGCAGCGCGAACACGTCGGTGTCATACACGGCCACCTTGTTGAAGGCACCACCGCTGATGAGCGTGGAGGCGAGCAGCAGAACGTTGACAGCCAACAGCACCGACAGCAGGCGGCCGCCCTTTTTCCACACCTCACGGGGGCTGGCCCGTGGCCCTGGCAGGCTCTCCTTGGGGTGCTGGGCCAGTTCCTCCGACATGGTGGGGGCGACTGGAGGAGGTTGAAGGGATCACTGCGGGGTCGAGGGGGAGGGGAAGGACGGGTTTCCAGGTCAACCCAGGGGGCTCTCCTTTCCTCCTGGAATGAATTTGGGGACCCTGGAATGTGGGGACTAAGGGTGCTAGACCGAGCCCTGGGGAAGAAGAAGAGAAAAACTGAAGACTGAACCTCTCCCACCTGGACCGGAAATACTGTACTGAAAGAAAAGCAAGGGCACTAGGCCGGGTCCCGCACAAGATTCTGCTCCCCAAATCCTACAGTCCCCTGGCCAGGGGCACGCACCTGGCTGCACTGGTAGCCGACAGCAAGTTGGGGGTCAAGGGGCAGCGAGCGTCTCCTCTCTCCCACGCCGGGCTGGACCAGTGCTTTATACCGGAGAGGGCAGAGTGATTTACAGCCACAAGAGCCCGGTTCCATAAACCTCTCAGTCCCACTCACATGATCCATCTTTTCTCCGAGCTGAATTTAGGGAAGTCAGATAAGGTGAGATTTATATTTACCTGTTAAGATCTCCTCACCCTGTCGCGCTGGCGCGGCCAGGGTTCAGGAGTGGCCCCATTATGCGGTACCTAGAGGGTCCTCCGCCCCCAACACCCACTGCAACCTGGTACTAAGAGATCGCACCCACCCAAAGCCTGCAGAGCGGACTCCCATCCCAGTGCCCGCCTGCACCTAGATGCCGTCGCAGCTCAGGAGTCACCTATATCTTGGATCTTGCTTGCTGTCCCTGGATCAGGACAGCAGTTCTCCCTTTCCCCACCTGCCCTCAGAGTGATCCAAGTTCGGTCTTCCTGTATCCCTTACTACTGCTGCCCGGAGATGCTTGTTGGATGCTGCAAAGTCTGGTTCCCACGGGGTGCCCGCAGCCGTCTTGTAATCGTTTAGCTCCCCCTGCTGGAGAGCCGTTGTCCGACCCCGCGCGAGTAGGCTAACTCTGGAGGCACTGCTGCGCCCTGCTCCCGGATTGTCTTGCAGTGAGTGGGTCCTCCTGCTCCTCTAGGCCCTCTGTCCTCCGGATCAGGACTGCCTTTCCATCCCACCCTCAGACACCATTCTCCAGTCCTTGGCGCGTTCCTTTTGACGGGTGAAGAAATCAGGGAGTCCAGCGCCCGGAGCTCTGTCGAGGACATCCTAAATTGTCCTCAATACTGAGCCTCAAGAGGCGTAACGCCAGAGAAGCTTTTGACGCGAGAGAGCTGGACTTCGATTGAATCACCCCTGTGTGCTGAAAAGCAGGGCGTTTAGGACCCAGGGGAAGCTCCTGGGCGGCTCTTGGGCAGTGAGAGATTTCCCCCTCCCTCTCCTGGTGCGCGGCTCAGATGTCCCGGTAGTCTGTAGTCTTCTGTAGTCGTGGCTCTGGCGCCCCGCATCCTCCATCTGCGCCAGCAGGGGCTGGTGGCACAGGCTCCTGCCCAGCCCCTTCCTTCAAACCCATGTTTCAGTCCTAACCTGGCTGCCCTCCCCGTCGGGGGGATATTTCTTGGTGCCCCTTGCACGACCCGTCCAACTCGGGCGCCATGAATGACCAGTATCACCGGGCCGCCAGGGATGGCTACTTGGAGCTCCTCAAGGAGGCCACCCGGAAGGAGCTGAATGCCCCTGACGAGGATGGCATGACCCCCACCCTCTGGGCTGCCTATCATGGCAACCTGGAGTCTCTGCGCCTCATTGTGAGCCGAGGGTGAGTATACTCTGCCCAGCCAGCAGGGAACCATAAAAACCCCGTATCCCAAACCTCATGGCATTTCTTACCCTCTCCCCTGAGGTGCCCTCTTCCCGTATGGATAGCCCCTAAGGTGAGACCGTGCAGCCTGCCATACTTTGAGAGACACACGTGGAAAGGACATCAGCCGAGGCTGATGGCACTTGTGAACTGTGTGTAGGGCTTAGAGCAGAGGAACTGCGATGTGTGTGTGTGTAGCGGGGGGGGGGGGGGGGCTGCAGAGTGATTCAAAACTTAAAGACAATTCTGAGTTGGGGGCACCTGGATGCAAGAATTAAGGGAAGGGGGGAATCAGAGAGAAGGCTGAGAAGTCTCCAAGTCCCTAAAAGTGGGAGCCAGAAAGGAGAGACCTTCATGCCTACTATCCAACCTAGGAGTCAAAAGTCTGTCCCCACAGTATCAGATGCTCCCACAGGACGAGTCTCATACTGACCTGTGCCTTCTTACCACTCCTCTCCTGAGATTTATGGGCACTGTCCACACTACCAAATGTCACTGGTTCAGCCGTAATTAACTCTCTGTACCCCCTCCCCCACAGCAGGACAGAGAAGTGGGAAGCCATATATGCAGGGAGGGCAGCTGTCCCTCTCCTCCCTCTGGAGCTGTCCTGAGAGGGAGGGTCAGCACAGAGAACCTGGAGGGGTCAGGCAATGTAGGATCCAGGGTCACTGAAGTGAGTCGGGGGAAGGGCATTAAATCACATTACCGGAACTATCCTAACATCAACAGTTTAGTAGGGCTGGCCTCGATACTGGTATGATCTGGGCAGGAGAAGGATGCCCTCAGAGTGTTCAAGTCAATGTCTCAGGTTCTAGGGGTCAAGGGCAGGGGCAGGGATTGTGTTGACCCTGGTACTTGGAGTGCCTGGATATGTGGGGAAAGGTTTCAGTCTCCCTCCGGCAGCCCCTTGGGTCTAAGCAGCAGGTGGAGACAGCCTGGGATCAGACAGCTTAGGCAGTGAGAGGCCAAGACTCTCCGGGACGGCACACAGAGGTACTATCCCCTCTGCACATCCGTCAGAGAGACTCACAGGGGTCTGAAGGGAAAGAGGGCTTGCCATTGGCTCTCCAAAGCCCTCGAGAAGCAAGGATTTGTGCTTGATGAGGGAGGGTCTGTTGCCGAGCAACGCTTCCCCACAGTATCCTGCAGGACTTGGCAAGCAGAGGGGGAAGCTGAAGTGGGGATGGGAGCAGGGCGCGGGGTAGGGGTGGGGGAGGGGGAGACTGGGAGGTGTTGAGACAAGGGAGTGATTCTTTCCCCAGCTCTGGGCTGGCCTTGTGGCCTCATTAGTGTTGGGCAGGACCCGGGGCTCAGACCAGAGAGAGAGTCAAGATTCCTAGAGAAGGCAGCAGGAGCTGGACTGTGGGCCGGAGTCAGACCCGGAGGGCATTAAGAGAGGGCTTCTGGAGGGGGCCAGGCCACCGGCTTCAAAGGGCAACTTGAAAAAGGTAGAGCAGCACAGCCAGGTGGCCGGCCCTCTTCCTTTCCAGTCCTGGCTGTCCCCACAGTCCCCTTCTGGCCCAGGCCAAGACCCGACACCTACTCTAACACTGGCGTTGCCAGGCCTGGCCCCGCTCCCTGCAGACATGGCGGTGCCCACTGCATGCCAGCGCGCACCCTCTCATGCTCTTCCAAGTTTAAGCCCGGCACACACCACCCTCGGGTTCTCTTATTCAGTCACCCTGTAACATGTGGCTTTCACAAACCACCTCACCCGCTTAGAGACCCAGACTCAGCCCTGGCCCACCACCTCTCTGGACCCGCTCCCCGCAGGGTCCATGAATAATTCACTCCTTTCTTTCAGCGCATCAAATATTTATCCCCTGAGATTCCCAGCCCTCTGTTCTCTAGGGGAAGGCCCGCCCTACCCCGCCTCCTAGGTAGCCCCGCCCCTTTGTGGGTTGGGCCATTCCCCCATACTCCTGCTTTGTGCTCAGTCCCGAAACATCTGTTGGCTCATCTCCTGGGAGTCTAGGTCTCAACCACATGCGTTTCTTTAGGGCAGTGGTTCTCAACCTTCCTAACGCTGTGACCCTTTAATACAGTTCTTCATATCCTGGTGACCCCTCCCATCATAAACTTCGTTGCTACCTCATAACTGTAATTTTGCTACTGTTATGAATTGTAATGTAAATATCTGATATGCAGGATATCTAATATGTGACCCTGTTGGGATCGCGACTCACAGATTGGGAACCACCGCTTTAGGGGGTGCTGTGTTGCAGGAAGCTCACAATGTCTTTGGGTTTTCCTTTCTTTTTCTGATTTCCCCCAACCCAGATTCCTTATACCTCCAACCCGAGCCCACAGGCTGTCTTGCTAAAAGGACTCGTCCTTTCTTTCCCCTGCAGGGGTGATCCGGATAAGTGTGACATCTGGGGAAACACACCCTTGCATCTGGCAGCTTCTAATGGCCACCTGCACTGCCTGTCCTTCCTCGTATCCTTCGGGGCCAACATCTGGTGCCTGGACAATGACTACCACACGCCATTGGACATGGCCGCTATGAAAGGCCACATGGAGAGCGTGCGCTATCTGGACTCGATCGCAGCCAAGCAGAGCAGCCTCAACCCCAAGCTGGTGGGCAAGCTGAAGGACAAGGCCTTTCGCGAGGCGGAGCGGCGTATCCGCGAGTGCGCCAAGATGCAGCGCAAACACCACGAGCGTATGGAGCGGCGCTACCGGCGAGAGCTGGCCGAACGCTCCGACACGCTCAGCTTCTCCAGCCTCACGTCCAGCACCCTGAGCCGCCGGCTGCAGCACCTGACGCTGGGCAGCCAGCTGCCCTACTCGCAGGCCACGCTGCACGGCACGGCCAAGGGCAAGGCCAAGATCCAAAAGAAGCTGGAGAGGCGCAAGCAGGGGGGCGAGGGCACCTTCAAGGTCTCCGAGGACGGGCGCAAAAGCGTCCGATCGCTCTCGGGCCTGCAGCTGGGCAGCGATGTGATGTTTGTGCGCCAGGGCACTTACGCCAACCCCAAAGAGTGGGGCCGTGCCCCACTCAGGGACATGTTCCTCTCGGATGAGGACAGCGTCTCCCGTGCCACACTGGCTGCCGAGCCTGCGCACTCGGAGGTCAGCACCGATTCAGGCCACGATTCCTTGTTTACTCGCCCCGGCTTGGGTACCATGGTATTTCGAAGGAACTATTTGAGCAGCGGGCTGCACGGGCTGGGCCGCGAGGACGGTGGCTTGGATGGGACAGGGACGCGGGGTCGGCTGCAGAGTTCCCCCAGCCTGGACGATGACAGCCTGGG